TTCTTTGACTATGCCTTCTTTCATATATTTCGAAAGACTTTTAATATTTTACATAATTGTAAGATTTTAAAAAGTAATCCCTAAATACTAAGAGAAGAAAAGGCACAAAACCTATGCACCCAGTAGCAAAACCAGAGTAACTATTCTAAGTGACTTTAAAACACAGTAATTTGGGGCACCTGAGTGGCTCAGTCGTTGAGTGTCTGCCTTCACCTCGGGTTGTGATCCCAGGGTCATGGATCAGGCCCCACATGGGGCTCCCTGCTCAGTGGGGAGCCTGCTTCTCCCACTGACCCTGCTTGTGTTCTTACTCTCGCTCTCTCTCTCTCTGCCAAATAAATAAATAAATAAGAAATCTTTAAAAAAAGAAATAAAAAATAGAACACAGTAATCTGACCTTATATCTTTAATGGGAATGCAAAAAAATTCAATTTTTATTACTTGATGATGGTCTTCATATTCTTCTAAAACTGAGATGTGTACAGTGTGGGATGAAACAATAAGTAATTAGGGGCGTCTGGGTAGCTCAGTCAGTTAAGCATCTGCCTTCAGCTCGGGTCACGATCTCAGGGTCCTGCAGTGGTGCCCTGTCTGCTTCTCCCTCTCATTCTCCCTCTGTGCTTACTCTCTCAAATAAATAACTAAAATCTTAAAAAAAAAAAAAAATTTTGAGTAATTAGAATCAAAATGTCTGTCTTGGAAGAAAAAAGATACAGGTGTAAGATCAAGAAGGTTAAGTAGAACTCCATATAGTAACCTATGATCTGTGCACTGGAAAGACCTAGAAACAATGATCAACCTAGTAGCAGTGAAAAACCCCACGACACAGAGTGTCATTACTAAATACCGTTTTTTCATTAAAAGAAACCAAGACCCCTTGGAGAAATAGATGGTTCCAGGGCTTGGGACAGAAAATGTACAAGATGAACCTGGTGCGGTTTGTCACACCAGAAAGATCAAAGACTTTTAGAATCTTGTTTAAAGGATTTAGGAGGTTGGGTGCCTGGGTGGTTCAGTGGTTTAAGCCTCTGCCTTCGGCTCAGGTCGTGATCCCAGAGTCCTGGGATGGAGTCCCGTGTCGGGCTCTCTGCTCAGTGGGGAGCCTGCTTCTCCCCCTCTCTCTGTCTGTCTCTCTGCCTACTTGTGATCTCTCTCTCTGTCAAATAAATAAATAAAATCTTAAGAAAAAAAAAAAAGGATTTTTTTTTCCTATTGGACAAAGATCAGACAATCTCAGCATCAATAAGGATAATACCTACAATGGACTGAACCATATCAAATGTGTTTAAATTCATGAGTTCACAGTGACACAAACACATAACACAACTCACTGGCTACTTTCAGAAGATCCCAACTCATTTTGAGAATTAGCAACCTACTGGAGAGGAATTAAGCAGTTACCCTACTTTTCCCAAAAAAGCTAAAATTCAGGATAACCAAATTATGGAGGGGGCATTTCTCTCTCTTTTTTTTTTTTCAGAGAGAGACAAAGAGACAGAGAAAGCAGGGGGAGGGGCAGTGGGAGACTGAGAGACTCTCCAGCAGACCCCCCACTGAGCACAGACCCTGACTCAGGGCTCCATCCCAGAATACCAACAGCATGACCTAAGCGGAAACCAAGAGCATCCCAACCAAATGTGCCACCCAAGCATCCCAAGACATTTCTCTTTATAGAAACATTCCATCTAACAAATGAAGTTAAAGAATTAAACTATCAACACTTTCCAAAGCCTAATAAAATAATGACTCTGAGGCACCTGGGTGACTTAGATGGTAACTAAACCAACTCGACTTCAGCTCTGGTCGTGATCTCCAAATCATGGGATCAAGCCCCTCACTGGGCTTCACACTGACTGTGGAGACTGCTAGAGATGCTCTCTCCTTCTCCCTCTGCCCCTCTCTGCTTGTGTGCTCTCTATATATTAAATAAATAAGGGCTTTAGGCATTAAGCATAAAGAGTCACTTATAAGAAGACTACTAATCATGGGACGCCTGGGTGGCTCAGTTGGTTAAGCGGCTGCCTTCGGCTCGGGTCATGATCCCGGCGTCCTGGGATCGAGTCCCACATCGGGCTCCTTGCTCGGCAGGGAGCCTGCTTCTCCTCTGCCTCTGCCTGCCTCTCTGTCTGCCTGTGCTCGCTCGCTCTCCCTCTCTCTCTCTGACAAATAAATAAATAAAATTTAAAAAAAAAAAAAAAGACTACTAATCATTATCTGCCCACCAACCTATGAAGTCTTTTTGCTAAAAATAAATTAACTCTGAATCTGATCACACCTTTAGATTTATCTACCAGTGCACAGTCATTTCTGTGTAGTTTAAGCACCATACAGAATAAAACCCAGACCGTAACTCCACAGAACAAATCACGGAGTTTCATCAACAAATAAATTACAAGGAAAGACAAAAGATGGAGGGGGACCTATAGATTAAAACAAATCACAATGCATAAACAGCATTTGGATCCTGATTCAGCAGTTATTAAAAAAAAAAAAAATACCTGTGACACAATCAAGAAAATGTTAACATTGGTTGGACATTTGAAGGTAATGAGAAATTATTCATTTTTGTGATAGCGGTATTTCTGTTTATCTTTTTAAAAAATGTATGTAGGGGCGCCTGGGTGGCTCAGTGGGTTGAGCCGCTGCCTTCGGCTCAGGTCATGATCTCGGAGTCCTGGGATCGAGCCCCATATCGGGCTCTCTGCTCAGCAGGGAGCCTGCTTCCTCCTCTCTCTCTGCCTGCCTCTCTGCCTGCTTGTGATCTATCAAATAAATAAATAAATAAATCTTTAAAAAAAAAATAAATAAAAATAAAAAAAATAAAAAATGTATGTAAATATACATGCCGAAATATTCAAGTTAAAAGGACATGAAATCTGGGTTTGGGGGATACAGATGAAAACCAGCTGTGAGTTAACAACTGTTGAAGCTGGATGAGGGTAAACAGGGACTTATTACACCATTCTCTCTACAGGTACCTGAGAACAATTTAACATGTAAAATAAATCAATCTGTAGTCTAAGTTTCACATAATAGAAATATCATTTTTACTGTTAAACTTAAAAATTAAGACAAGGTCAGCTAGTTGGATGTGTGATTTTTTTTTACAATCTCTTTTAAAGTATCTTTCTTTTCTCTTTTAAGATTTTATTTCTTCAGGGTGCTTAGGTGGCTCAGTCATTAAGCAGCTGCCTTCAGCTGGGGTCATGATCCCAGGGTGCTGGAATAGAGCCCCACATCGGGCTCCCTGCTTAGCGGGGAACCTCCTTCTCCCTCTCCCCTCTGCTCCTCCTTGTGTTCACTCTCTCACTGTTTCTCTCTCTCTCTGTCAAATAAATAAAGTCTTTAAAAAATATATTTATTTCTTCATTTGACAGAAAGAGACAGCACAGAAGCAGAGGGAAAAGCAGGCAGAGGGAGAGGGAGAAGCAGGTTCCCAGCTGAGCAGGGCTGCCATGGGATGGATCCCAGAACCTGAATCGAAGGCAGATGCTTAACCAACTGAGCTGCCCAGATGCCCCTTAAACTACCTTTTAAAGTATTTCAAATTGTTTACTTTTCTGACAATACAAGGACTACTTGAAAGAACTAACTGGAAACCAATAACCATCTAAAGAAACAGCTTTTAGGGTACAATTAGTAACACAAGGTTGAACACCAAACAAAACCTTATCAGTATCAGTTAATGTCAAAGACTTAAAGGGAAAAATGGTCAGCTGTATAAATTATACTTTAGAAAGAAAACAATCCCACCTCATGGAAACTGGGTAGAATTTAGATTCATGGCATTCAGTAAGCCTCTGTGACTAAAATCTAAACATAGTGACAAGCAGTAAAATAAACCATACCAGCTGTCCTGCTGTAAGCCACATCAAAACTCTGAAAAGCAGTTATGACTGCCGAAACCATTCACTTCCTTAAAAAACATCTTTACTCTTCCAGTTTTCCCCACAGTCAGAATCGAGGGCTATGTCAAGATTTTACAATGTTCGGATTTTACAATGCAATCTCTACATCGCATCAGCGCATTAGCTGAAGACTGAACCTTACAATCCCCCTCCAAGTCACCCGCTAGGCCACAGGTGCCCTCTCCCAGAGCTGCTGAACTCCCACTCGTTCTCCCCCCGAGGCTCCAATGACGTCCTGCAAAGGAGACAGAGCGCCCTTTCAGCAAGCCTATTTCTTCCCCCGTTAGGATTTCAGCCCATCGTCCGCAAGTACGCAAAGCTCTTTCCGTAACGACTTAACAGCAACGCACTCAGCCACCGGACGCGCTCTGGTCCTGAGGATCACACCAGTTGCTTCCGGTCATTTAGGCATAAAATCACACACCCCACCACCAGCAGCCCCCGGTGAGCCGAAGTAGTGATCGGAAGGTGGGGACGCAGGAAGCGAACACAAATCACCCACAAAACGTCCAAGGCCGTGGATTACGAGAATACACACACAAGTGATTGCCCAGGGCAGAACCCTCTGACACCTCCCCCAACTGGCCCACAACAGATGTTCCAGACAGAAAAGAGCGAGAAGACGACAAGCGCTGCGGCCGTCCAGTTCCCCGACGACCGCAGGACAGTCGGCAGGTCGGCCTGGCTGCCGGAACCCACCGCTTGCACTGGCTCCCGAGCCCACAGGCAGCCGCCAGCCGCTGGCGCTGCAAGCAGCCGACCGCGCCAACGCCCGACCCGCGACGCCCACCACCCAGCCCCCACGCCGGCCGCCCGGCCGCTCCCACCGAGCAGCCCGCGCCGCCAGGGGTGTGCAGGGCGCCGTCCCCTCCGCACCCAGCCACGGCCCGGCGGCGACACCCCTCCCAGCACCGCTGCGAGCCCCCGCGGCCGACTCCAGACCCGCCCGCGCCCCGCCCGGCGCGGCCCCCGCCCGCCTCCCCCGGCCTCTCGGGCGCCGCAGCCGCCACAGGCCCCGCGGCCCGGCCTGCAGCCCCTGGGCCGCTCCGCCGCGCCCCGGGCCCCGCGGCCGCCCCTGCGCGCGGGCCTCACCTCAGGGGGCGAGTCGCGAGCAGAGCACGGGCGTTCGAAGGTCCGAGGACTGCGCGTCGGCTCACCGCTCGGGCTCCGGCTCGGGGTCGGACTCCGGCTCCAGCTCCGGCTCCGCCCCCTGTCCGCCGCGCGCTCCCCAGCCCGCAGACCAGACCTGCCCAGCCTCTCCGCCCCCTCAGCCCCCCGCACTGCCCCCGCCGCGGGAGCTGGGTGCGGCCTGCGGCGCCGCAGCCCAACAACGCGCCACCCTATAGGCCCAGCCGGCCCCGCGCCGCCAAACAACGCGCCATGCGATTGGCTGACCGCGAGGGGGGAGAGGGCGGGACTCGCGCGGCGTGGGGGAGGGTAAGGGCGGAGGCTCCGCCTGCGGCCGCTTGGGACCGCAGGGACCAGGTGGGTGCGGTCTCGCCGGCCGAAAGCTCGCAGTGGAGGTTCTGGCCTCGCTGGCCAGCTGGGCGGCAGCTTCGCGCCGGCCGCTGTGCTGGCAGCGCCCGCTCTCCCAGAACCAGTCGTGCGCTCGCTTGTCCCTGGACAGACTCTCGTGGAGGCCCCTGCGGGCCAGGAGCCCGGGTTGGGCTGCACAGCGTCCTAAAGGGCCCCGTTCAGGCCAGAGGGACCCTCGGAGCCCGCGGCCGCGCCGCTCCCTGCCCACCTCGTGCGCTCCTCCAGCAGGCGGACCCTTGGACCCTGCGCCGGTGTACCTGGCCTTGGGCCCCGGGTGGGCGGGGGCACAGGCAGAGTTTGTGGCTGGTGGCCAGGGTGGAGTCAGGACAGCAGGGTCTGTGCTTGGCGATAAGGCTCTACAGACAAGGTGGCTGCCTACTGCCCAGGGCCTGACATGCCGGTGCTGGATGAACAAGCGCCGGTCACATCCGCAGAACCAGTCGTAGGAGTCCAGGCCAGGGCACCTGTCAGTGACCAGGAGGCTAGCCTGGAGACCAGGCCAGCACCTTCCCCTATCCTCACCCTCCTCTTGGCTCATCTGAGTCCCCAAAAGGCCCTGGACACAGAGAAGCAGAGCTTCTTGTTCCCTTTATACCACAGAAAACTGAAGCCAGCAGGGGAAGAGCAGTGTAGAACCCGGGCCTTCTTCCCAGCAGGGACCTCTTTGGCTTTGCCCACAGAAAGGTCAGTGATACTGTCCAGGGTTAATATCTGTGACCTCTGATCTCAGGGCACTTCTGGACAAGACTCCACAATTCTACATCAGTTAGTTTTGTTTCCCTTGCACCCAAGAACAAGGCTTGGTGCTTGCAGCTGTCAGTGAAAGGGGCACCTGGGTGGCTCAGTCATTTAAGTAAGGGGTCTTGATTTCAGCACAGGTCAAGATCCCACAATTCTGGAATCGAGTCCCCCATCTGGCATCGAGTCCCCCATCTGGCATCTTGCTCAGCAGGAAGCCTGCTTCTCTCTCTGCCTCTGCCTTCCACTCTGCCTGCTTGTGCTCTCTTTCTTTCTCTCTCTCTCTCTGACAGATAAATAAATAAAATCTTTAAAAAAAGAAAAAATTATTTTTAAAAGTGAACTGGAAGACATGGAGAAAGTAAATGAAACACAGAGTAACAAGCCTGAGAAGAATGAGCAGAGCACTAGTGAGTTGTGGAACAACTTCAAGAGGCCAAATAAATCTGTAATTGGAGTCCCTGAAAATGGGGATCAGGGGGTGTTTTGGAAGAAAGACAAATACGATTTGAAGATATAATGGCTGAAATTTCCTTTTAAATCTGGTGCAAACTACAAACTCACAAATCAAAGCAACTCAGAAAGTAACTTCTGGCTTGCTACTGGGCTCTGGTAGAAACAGAATGTTTCTATGGGTCATCAAAAGTGACTCTGAGGGGCACCTGGGTGGCTCACTGGGTTAAGCCTCTGCCTTTGGCTCAGGTCATAATCCCAGGAGACTGGGATCAAGCCCTACATCGGGCTCTATGTTCAGCAGGGAGCTTGCTTACCCCCCTCTCTGCCTGCCTCTCTGCCCACTATTACAAATAAATAAATAAATAAATAATCTTTAAAAAAAAAAGTGACTCTGAGGCCAGAATTGCCCATTGCTTGGTCCCATCAGGATACCAGGACATGAGGTCAGGTAGATACATCACAATCTAAGTGTCAGATCCAGGATTGAAAGGATTCATGTAGATGCAGTGGGAGGTGGTCCAGACCCTTGTTCATCTACCTCTAGAGCAGCAGTGGCTATCAGCTCACACCAGTGGTGTCAGGGATTCCCTAAAAACAGTGACAGAGGAGCAAAAAAACCTGTGCTTGGTTCATGGGAAGGTTGGCTCACTATGTTGGTATAGGCTAAAAATGGTCTGCTGTTTCACTGTATCCCCATTCAGCAGCTGCCCTGAAAGTGGTGAGAAGCAGTCACCCCCATAGGCAAAACTTCCAGCAGTAAATCTTGCCATTCACTTCGTGTGGCAGGAGATGTGGTCTGGACTCATGGGCAGTGGCACATGGCTTAACGGGCTGGTTGGGAACCTGGAAGGAACGATCCAAAAGTTTGGGGACAAATAGGTCTGAAGATGAGGCATGTCGATGGACCTCTGGGAATTGGTACAAAGAGTGAAGATCTTTGTATTGCATTTTTCTTAAGATTTTGTTTATTTATTTGACAGACAGAGATCACAAGTAGGCAGAGAGGCAGGCGGGGGCGGGGGGGACACAGACTCCCTACTGAGCAGAGAGCCCGATGCGGGGCTCGATCCCAGGACCCTGAGATCATGACCCGAGCCGAAGGCAGAGGCTCAACCCACTGAGTCACCCAGGCGCCCCTTTGTATTGCATGTTAATATTCACCAGTGAGCATCTACCAGAGAGGCTCTAAAAAAACAAGCAGAGAATGGACTGGCCAATGAGCATAAGCCAGGCTCTGTCCTCTGCCCCCATCATTCTGGCACAGTGCTCTCCCCAGTGAAGTCGTCATGGTAACAGAACGGAGGCCATGTATGAGCCCAGCAGCATGGGCTCCTTGTAACCAAGGCTAATCCAGCTACTGCCACTGCCAAATACATTTGGCAGTAGGCTGTCACCTGTCCCTGCAGGAGCCAACCAGCTACTTGCTGGCAAGTTGATTACCTTGGATCCCTTCTATTCTAGAAAAAGTGATAATTCATGTTCACCGAGACGGCCATGTGTCTGGATAAAGGTTTGCCTTTCTGCCTCTAATTACTTCAGCACTCCTATCAAGAGTTCCCCAAGTGTCTGATCGGTTGACATGGAATCCCACATAACTGCTTTATGGCAAAGGAGGTATGGAAATGGACATGTGACCAGGAATGTACTGTTCCTACCCAATATGTGCCATCCAGAAGTTTCTGGTGTGCTAGAGGGAGGGGCTGGCCACATGTAGATTCAGATGAGACTCCAACTTGGAGATGATCCCCAGGAGGTGGAGTGCCAGCCTCCGTGAAGCAGTACATAGCTACATCAGTCACCACTTTACGAGGTTCTGTCCCTGATACGTGCAATGCCCAATGACCTACTTGAGGAATTTGTGCTTTCTGTTCCGCTGCAGTAAGAGCTGTGAGCCTAGAGATGCTAGGGGTCTCCAAAGAGGACACTTCTACCAGGGGACATAGTCATGTTGAAACTATGGCTGTCGCCTGATCTCGTGCAACAACTTGTGCCAGTGGATTGGTGGGCACAGAAGGGGGTAACCAGAGTTGTAGGGATAATTGACCCTCGTTATTGGTAGGATGTAGAGCTACCTGCTACAGGATAGGGTCAGGCAGGAATGTGGTGCTCAGGTGATCAGCAATCAGAGCAGGCGCTCAGCAGAGTGGGACATCTCTTGGTGCTCCCACCCCCAGTAACTGTAAACAGGCGAGCATGTCACACACCCTGGTAAGGGCCGGCTCCCAGGAGCTCAGACCCTCAGGCATGAACCATCTAGGAGAGCCAAAGTGTTAGCTATGAAGAAATCTAGAATGGGTGGTAGAAAAGGGAGATGTTGAGAATCACTTGTGGTCTGGGGATCAACTACAGCAGTAGGGGCTACAGTTCATCTCTCTACCCATTTCTCAGAAGTTACTCCAGATACTGAGACCCATTAGAATACTGGAGAATTTGTGTCTCAATGGACTGAACTTAATAAGAGGAACAAGTAGATATGAGCAGTTCAAGGGGTGGGCTTAGGAGTCACTGTTGGTGCCCTGCCCAGATTTTCTCTCTGGCTTGGGGCTGGCAGTGGGCCCTACCCAGGTGCCATGAATGTCAGCAGCTAATGGCCCCAGAGCCCTGTCTTCAGTGTCACCCAGCCCAGGAGATCATCTCCTTACTTGGATAGCCAATAACTAGCTGAGCTAGGGGTCCAAAGGCTGGTGCCCTGACCTCAAAGCAGGACCAACTGTGGGACAAATCTCCCTCCAGAGCACCCGTGGGATTCGCTAAAGCTAGACCCCAGCTGAGACCACTTCAATCCTTTGTGTTTTATTTTTAATTTGCCTTATCCTGATTCCCCCATTCAGCTTATCCTGAGAACATTCCCTCTATAGATCCTCGCACAAGATCCCCAGTTCAGGTTTTGCTCCTCAAGAATCTAATCTAAAAAAATTGCATATTAAAAATACTGTCTACAACTCAACACAGAAAAGCAACAGTTCAATTAAGAAATGGACAAAGGAGTTAAACATTTATCCAAAGATGTAAGGTTAGCCAATAAGCACATAAAAAAGATGTTCAAGGGGCACCTGGGTGGCTCAGTGGGTTAAGCCTCTGCCTTCAGCTCAGGTCATGATCCCAGAGTCCTGGGATGGAGCCCTGCATAGGGCTCTCTTGCTCAGCAGGGAGCCTGCTTCTCCCCCTCTCTCTGCCTGCCTCTCTGCCTACTTGTGATCTGTCTCCCTGTCAAAAGAAAAAAAAAAAAAAGGCCTTAAAAGTTCTGGTAATACTCACTAGAGAAAGGGCACTTTAAAAAATTAAAAAAAGGGGTGCCTGGGTGGCTCAGTGGGTTAAGCCGCTGCCTTCGGCTCAGGTCATGATCTCCGGGTCCTGGGATAGAGCCCCGCATCGGGCTCTCTGCTCAGCGGGGAGCCTGCTTCCTCCTCTCTCTCTGCCTGCCTCTCTGCCTACTTGTGATCTCTGTCAAATAAATAAATAAAATCTTTTAAAAAAATTTAAAAATTAAAAAAAAAGATGCTCAATATCACTAATCTTTGGGGAACTACAAATTGAAGTCATCATGAGATATCACTTGATATCCACTAGGACTGCTATAATAAAAAAGAAAAGACTAAGTGTTAGCAAGGATGTGGAGAAACTGGAGCCCCGTGCATTGCTGGTGAGAGTGTGAAATGGTGCAGCCGCTGTGGAAAACGTATGCTGGTCAAAAAAGTCAACAGAGAATTACCATATGACCCAGCGACCCCATTTGGGGTATATACTCCAACGAAATGAAAACAAAGATTCTAAGCGATATTTGTACATCCGTGTCCATTGTAGCATTATTAACAAGAACCCAAAGGTGGAAGCAACTCATATGTCTATTGTCAGATGAACGGATAAACAATGTGGCCCATCAGTACAACGAGATATTATTCAGCCTTTAAAAGGAAGGAAATCCGGGGCATCTGGGTGGCTCAACCAGTTTAGTGTCCGACTCTTGATTACGGTTCAAGTCATGGTCTCGGGGTCATGAGATCAAGCCCCATGTCAGGTTCTATGCTGGGTGTTGGGCCTGCTTAAGATCCTCACTCCCGGGGTGCCTGGATGGCTCAGTGGGTTAAAGCCTCTGCCTTCACTCGGGTCGTGATCCCGGGGGCCTGCTTCTCCTCCTCTCTCTCTGCCTGCCTGCCTACTTGTGATCTCTGTCAAATAAATAAATAAAATCTTAAAAAAAAAAAAAGATTCTCACTCCCTCTGCCTGTACCCCTTCCCCCGCCAAAAGGAAGGAAATCTTGACACATACTATAATGCACTAGAATCATGAAGACACTATGCTAGTGAGATAAGGACAGGTCATTATACAATTGCCACTTATATGAGGTTCCCCAAGCAGTGATGTACATCCTTGCGCTGGGGCCATGCTAATCTCCATATATCATTCCAATTTCAGTCTATGTGCTGCTGAAGCAAGCACAGACGAAGTAATGGCCCGTCCAGGGACTGACCCCTAAATGTGGTATTATCAGTACCTAACCAGCTGAGCTAACTGGCCAACTGTGGGTCAGAATTGTTAAATTCAGACACAGAAAATAGAATGGTGGGCGCCCAGAGACTAGGGGAGGGAGAACAGAGAGTTGTTAAATGGAGACAGTCTCCGTTTTGCAGGAAGAAAAAAGTTCTCAGGATAGATGGTGGTAAAGAGTCACAGTAATGTGAATGTACTTAGTGCTACAGAACTGTGCACTTAGAATGGTTAAAAATGGAAAACTTTTTAAAGGCGATTTTTTAAGATTTTATTCCTTTATTGGAGAGGGGGAGAGAAAGAGAGCAAGCAAGCGAGCAAGATAGGGGGAGGGGCAAAGAGGAGAAGGAGAAGCAGACTCCCCACTGAGCAGGGAACAGGATGCCGGACTTGATCCCAGGACCCTGGGTTTATGACCCGAGCCGAAGGCAGAGGCTTAACCCACTGAGCCACCCAGGTGCCCCTGAAATAGTAAATTTTATATTACGTATATTTTACCATAATAAAAAAAGTTTTAAGATGTATTTATTTATTTGACATGGGGAGAAGAGCAGAGAGACTCTCAGGCAGAGTCCCCGCTGAGCATGGGAGCCCACTGCAGGGCTTGATGTCAGGACCCTAAAATCACAACCTGAGCCAAAACCAAAAGTTGGATGCTTAACCAACTGTTTTAGTACTGTTGAAAGTTTTTTTTTTTAAGATTTTATTTTATTTATTTAACAGAGAGAGAGACATGGAGAGAGGGAACGCAAGAAGCAGGAGAGGGAGAGGGATAAGCAGGCTTCCCACTGAGCAAGGAGCCCAATGCAGGGCCCAATCCCAGGACTCTGGGATCACGACCTGAGCCGAAGGCAGATGCCCAACAACCTAGCCACCCAGGCGCCCCGAAAGTTTTAGGTTTTTTTTTTTAAGATTTTATTTATTTATTTATCAGAAAGAGAGCACAAGCAGGCAGAGTGGCAGGCAGAGGCAGAGAGAGAAGCAGGCTCCCCGCTGGACAAGGAGCCCGACGTGGGACTGGATCCCAGGACCCTGGGATCATGACCTGAGCCGAAGGCAGCAGATTAACTGACTGAGCCACAAAGGCGTCCCCTGTTGAAAGTTTTTAATAAAAGAAGTTTTAATACTATTAAAATACACCTTCCTTTTCAAAGAAAAAAAACCCACCCTCTTGGATGGGAGTTATTTTCTTTCTTTTCCTTTCTTTTCTTTTCTTTTTTAAGGATAGGAGTTAAAAAACAACACAGAATTTTTTTTTCCGCCCAAGATTTTATTTATTTCTTTGACAGAGAGAGACCACAAGTAGGGGAGCAGCAGAAGAAGAAGCAGGATCTCTGCTGAGCAGTGAGCCCAACACGGGGCTCAATCCCAGGACCCCTGAGATCATGACCTGAGCTGAAAGCAGATGCTTCACCAACTGAGCCCCCTAGGCACCCACAACATAGAATTAGATACATACAACGGTGATATCAAGTCATGAAGGAGATCAACGGAGCTAAAGTCACCTGAAGTCTATGTGTTGTCTAGGAGGGTAAAAATATTTGTTACTCTAGACTCAGGTAAAAATAAAAAAGACTATATAACTTTCCAACTAGAACAAGGATGTGGAATGACTTAAAAAAAAAAAAGTTGCTCAATCCAAAAGGAGAGGAGGAGAGAGAAAGGAGGGAAAAAAACCCACAAACACAGGTGGGTCGATACCAAACAAAATAAGATGGTAGATTTAATTACATTAAATACAAATTAACAAAATGCTTCAGTTAAAAGAAAAAGTATGTCCCAAATGCTAGAAACAAAGAAAGAAATTAAAAACATACACACTTTACTATACATTAGAAGAAATATAAAGTACCTATGAAACTAAGAAAACCTGAGCAAGACTATAATGGACAAAGTTATGAAATTCTATCGGCAAACATGAAGGCACCCTCAAATCAATAGGGAGGTAGACCATGTTGATGAGTCAGAAGACTCAGTGTTGTAAAGATGTCAATTTTTCCCAAGCTGATTTACAGCTATAGTGATTCCCAGTCCAAAGATCAACTGAGTTATTAGTGACATTGATGAACTGACTTTAAAAATTGTGTGAAAATAGCTTTGTGCAGCAGAGATAGTATTGTGGCTAATGAGGTTTATCCCAGGTGCAATTATTGCTAAAACTTATGTGAAAAAAAAAAAAAAAGTGGGATGGAACGCCTGGGGGGGCTCAGTCCGTTAAGCGTCCAACTGTTGATTTTGGCTCACATCGTGATCTCAGGGTCATGAAATCGATCCCCGCATCAGGCTCCACGTGCAGCATGAGGAGCCCGGTTAGATTCCCTCTCCCTCTACCCCTGTTTTCTCTCTCTCTCTAAAATAAATATTTTTTTTTAAGTGGGGAAAAAACTCATCTGGAAAGAGAAAGAACAAAACAGACAAGACGTTCTCCAAGAAGAAAAATAAAGTGAGGATCTATTCAGCAGGTATCAAGACATCATGGACAGAGTCCAACAGCAGACCTCCATATACATGGACATAGCACAGGTGGCATTCAGATGGGGGCTGGAGAACAGATTAGAAACAAACGGTGCAGGGTGCCTGGGTGGCTCAGTGGGTTAAGCCTCTGCCTTCAGCTCAGGTCATGGTCTCAGGGTCCTGGGATCGAGCCCCAAATCGGGATCTCTGCTCAGCAGGAAGCCTGCTTCCCCCTCTCTCTTTGCCTGCCTCTCTGCCTACTTGTGATCTCTCTCTCTCTGTCAAATAAATAAATAAAATCTTAAAAAAAAAAAAGAAACAGTGCAGGAACAAGTGGGTAAACCTATGGGGGGAAAAATGAAAGCAAACCTTACCTCTCGCCATATGCACAATAACAATTATAGAGTTGGAGAAGATATGTGCAACACACATTACTGACAATATCAAGGCGACGTAAAGAATTAGTGTAAATTAACAAGAAAAAAGAACAACACATACAAAAATGTGCAAAATATTTGAATATATGCTTCACAGGAGACAAATGAAAAATGGTTCATAAACACATGAAAATATGCTCAAGCTCCTTAGTGATTAGCTAAAAGCGCATTAAAGCCATACACCCACCAGGTTGACAAAAATGAGAAAAAATGTCGGCAAAAATGTGGAACCAAAAGTGGAACTCTCTTTTATAGCTGGTGGGAGTGTAAACTGGAACAATAAAATTCCTGGAAGACAGTGAAGGTTCCTGATGCCCTGGAACCCAGAGGTCAGACTCCTGGGTTCATACTCTAGAGAAACTCGTGCAGGCATGCATCGGAAACACGAATAAGACTGTTGCTAGCAGCATTGTCTGGACTTCCCCCACCTGGAAACAAACCAAATGTCCAACTACAATAAAATAAAACCCGTGAACTGTGATATAATGGAACGGTTTTCAGCAATGAACTGAACAAACTACAGCTAAGCCCAGCAATGCAGCCGCATCTCAAAGATATGAGGAGCCAAAGGAGCCAGATGTCAAAGCTTTTATCTGTAGGATTCCACTCACATAAAATACAGAAACAAGACACCGCCGTGATGGACATATAACTGAGTGGTGAAGGCTTAATGGCGAAACAAGGACAGAGCCTCCCCAAAGCCAGAGCAGGGCTGGTGAGACTTGAAGGGGCGGAGCTGTGATGGGGAGGGTACATGGGTGCTGGAGAGGTTACCTCCTGATGGGATCATAAGTATGCTCACCTCATAGCAATTTTCTAGGCTGCCCATTTGTGTTTTGCTCATTTTTCTGATTGTGTGTCTTGCTCTACCGGAAATCAAAGGAAAAAGGAGTGTGGTTTAGCTCTGAGTAGCTTGGAGTGTGGCCAGAGCTGAAGATGGAGGTGACGCAGGGGCAGCTCTTAGGCAGTCGCTAAGGATTCATGAGGACCCAAGGAAGGCCTGAAGGAAGTGGATGTGTTTGGGGTCTGCTCTGTGTCTCAAGACTCTCCCCCTGGTGGGACTGTGCTGGAAGGTAGCTGAATGGGAGACAGACACTTCAAACCTTCTTCAAGGGTCACTGTCTGCCCAGGACTGGAGTCTTCCCTGAAGCCGCCCCATCAGGCAGTCTTTCCCAGGGGGAGGGATAGGGCATGCAGGCAGAGACAGAGAACTGGATGTGGCAAGTTGCCTAGTGGGGGGCTTGGAGGCACTGGGTCATAGCCAGAGACAGAGGCGCTCCTCCCCTCACTGCCCTCCTCTAGAGACACGTGGATTTGGTGTGAGCGCCAGCTCTGCTCCATATTCCCTGCATGTTCTTTGTGTCCTCCAGGCCTCCCTTCCAGAGGCCAGTCCCGGTGGGCACTGGGCAGGAAGCCACTTGGCCCCAGGCTGCGGCCTCTTCTGCCTTGATGCCCTGTCAGCGGCGCCTGTCCCGCCAAGGGTGCAGGGAGACCCTCCTTGGACCAGCAGGGGGCGTCCCCGCAGCGTGACCCAGAGCTGGGGCAGGATGTGGAACTCAGGAGGTGTTTTTGTTTTTGTCTAAGATTTTTTTTTTTAATTTTAGAGAATTTATTTATTTATTTGAGAGAGACTGAAAACACAAGCAGAGGGAAGGGGCAGTAGGAGAGTGAGAAGCAGGCTCCCCGCTGAGCAGAGAGCGTGACCGGGGCTGGATCCCAGGATGCTGGGATCATGACCTCAGCTGAAGGGAGCCCCTCCAGATTTGTTTTGTGAGGTCTCTTCTGGTTCTAAGCATCTCTGTTTACAATAAAAATCTCTATTAACAGAAGGTAAAGAAGCTCACTCTTTCTGATCAACTGTGAGAAGAGTAAAACCATGTTCGGTCATGGGCTTGGAGACGCTTCCCAAAAGGTCTGGGCCTTTCTCAGCCCAGGAGTGGGATCTGTCTCTGAACTCCCTACGATGCTGGACAAGGCATGAAGCCTCTCTGAGCCTCAGTTTCTCCAACTGTAAGATGAGGAAGCAGTGTAGTCCCTGGCACAGGTCCTAGACTTCCTATA